TCTTGTATGGATTGTTTTCCAAAACGAAAAACAAACCTGATCCCAAATTGTTTCTTCTCTTTTGAACAGTCTTGTAGTCCTCCCAAACATACTCACCAAATGTTCCGTCATCTTTCTTAACTCTATGGCCCAATGCAGGCTTGTGTCCTCTGTTTGCCACGCAAAGCTCAAATGTGTCGTACAAAGTAGTGATTCCTGGGTAAGGGACTGTCTTCAACTCCTTTTGGGAGTAAGCGTTTCTGTAAATTGGTGAGAACCCTTCCTGTTCTGAGCCTGGAAGTGGAAGAGCACTTCCAACCAATTTAGAGTCAAGGGGAAATCCACTGTTTACAGTTTTCCAAACGTGATCTGGTTTCTCTTTGAATAAAGGTGCCATGTTTCTATCAAAGACTGTGATTGTAAATCAAAAGCAGCAGGAATAACTAACTGAAAAAAGAATTGAAAAAAATGTTGTTAGAGTCGACGAAGGTGGGGGGAAAGTTTCTTTATAAACGTTATCGAAGGCTATTTCGTCTCTTTTACACGACTAAGAGTTATTTTCGGTGTTTTCTTTTTTTTCTTTAAGTTTCGATTTGTGGAGGTTTTATTTTTTTAAGGTTTGTTCCTCGGCAAGGGTGAGAGAGAGAGAAAGAGAGACGTTGCCATCGACTAAATCAGACAAATTATCCGCACGCAGAAACTAAAAACATAGATTAGTTTAAAAGTTTAAAAACAACACCCATGCATCTTATACATCCAACAAGGCTCCCTCAATTTGAATTCGCATTCGCATTCGTTGTGTTTAATTGAGAGGGGAGAAAAATTTTCGTGTTGTTATGGAGCATTTTTCTCTTATACTACCGCCTTACTTCTTTTAGCCTATCTTTTGTGATGCTTTAATTGACAAGATTCCGTATTAGCAAGAATCCGAAAAAAAAGGTTATGTTACCTCTAGCTAGTCAGATTTACAGTACTTGAGGAGATACTTGACAAGGCAATTCCTCCAATGACGCGGTCCAACTACAGGTTTGACCATCAACCGCCCTCTAGTTTTCCCCTATGGTTTTCAAGCATGTATAGAATCTCCCTGTCTATTTCTTTCTCGGCAAACTTTATTTTATGTCGGTTTTTGTGTCTTGTTTCATCCCGTTCCCGATCTTCCGTTTTTTTATTGCCAATCATACTAAAAACCGCCTGACTTTGGACTTTTTTAAACATCAAGACAAGAAATGAGCAACGAGGTATGGTTCGCCGACCACATGGTGGCTCTACTGTCAGAATCTTGTGTGGTAATTGTTGTCTTTTTTATGTAATGAAACCCAGGGTTCACTGATGAGCCGAGGTTTCTTCTCCAACAGAACGTTGGCCATTTTTGTGTCATTTTTCCCCACATGTAAAATCGGGTTGTCGGAGCAATAGATCTCTCTACAGGAAACTGAAAAGACACAAGTGTATAGCTCGAATGCGAATGCTAGATTGCAATGCTTTTTTTTTATTCTGATTTAACTACTATCTATATATACTTGTAGGGATTCATTATTCCTGTAGGGTCGTAATGTTGCTTAATCTGCTTCAACAAAGCAATCTCTGTGGGGTTTTTGGAGTATCCGATATAATTCTTCTTTTGGAATCCCAAACCATGCTCAGCAGAGATAGACCCCTTCTTTGAAGAAACCCATTCATAAACAAATGGCTCCAACACTGACTCAACTGCCAGGGTGTACTTTCGAACACAAACATTGAGGTGCAAGTTTCCATCACCAATGTGTCCATATCCTATAGCTGAAACAACGGGTTTTGCATCGTCTTCAAAATCCACCAAGTTGGCTTCGGCCAAGTTTTTGTTAGCAGCCTCAACCAACCCATACAAGTCTTTTAAAGGGATTGAAACATCGTACTTGTAGACACCACCGTTCATTGCACTTGCTTCTGGTATACTCTCTCTCCAACTCCACAAGCTCTGCACTTGTGACTCATCTTGAGCAACAATACCATCTTCAACCAAGCCATTCTCCATTGCATTTCCCAAGAAGTTCTCCAATTTCTCATCATCGTGATCCTTATTAGATCCTGATGTCTCAATCAAAATATAGAAAGGGTACTCTCCGCTCTCTATTGGATGGTCAAGTCCCAAATGTTGCTTTGTCAATTGTTGCGACTTCAAGTCCATAAATTCAAAAGCAGACAAGATTTCACCCAACTCTTTTCTTGATTCAACAAAAACCTTTTGTACGGTTTCGTAATCTTTGACGGCAAGAAAAGCAACATTCGTGGCCTGCGGTCTTGCCGGACAGAGTATGGAAACACCAGTAATCACACCCAAAGTGCCCTCAGAACCAATAAATAATTGCTTCAAGTCGTAACCCGTATTGTCCTTGCGCAAAGAGTGCATGGAATCATAAATAGTACCATCTGGTAACACCACCTCTAACCCTAACACACTGCCATGCAATGATCCATATCTCAACAATCTTAACCCTCCAGCATTACAAGCAACGTTACCACCAATCTCACAGGAACCTTTGGCACCCAAATCCAACGGGAAAATGTATCCTTGTTCCAGCAAATACTGATCGGCATTTTCCAAAATCACTCCAGCATCAACTTTCAAAATACCACTCACTGGATCGAAAGACCTAATTTTGTTTAATGAAGATAAGGATATAATGATTTCATCAAAGATGGGGTTTGACCCACCAACCAATCCAGTGTTACCACCTTGTGGAACAACAGCCAACTTCTTTGCATTGCAGTATTTCAAAATGTCAGCAATCTGTTGAGTAGTCTTGGGCTTGAGTAGTAAATTTGATTGTCCACGGTATTTCCTCATCCAGTCTTCGTTGTAGAACAACAAGTCATCGTCATCGGTAACAATGCTGCTTTCAGGTAAAATGGATTTGAAGAAGTCCAAGTCTGAAGAATCTAGTTTCTTATATTTTGGATCTCGTTGGACTTTTGACGAATAAGTATCGGCGGTAAGTGGCACCGACTTGACAGTAGAGTAGCGAGCAACTGGTCTAGCGATGCGAATCGGATTTATAGCAGCTGTTTTCAAGCTTCTTAATAGAAGATTGGCAGACGTATTGAGTAACCTCTTTTGCATTGTGGACTAGTGATGGCTGAGTGAAATAAGAGTCCTTGGACTGGGATGATTGCACGAGTCAAAAAAAAAAAAAAAAATGTAAAAGTTGCACGCGCTTAATTTTTTCAAATGAAAAATTTTGTTCCCATATGCAGGTCCGCAATTACTCATTTTCACAAAAGATGGGTGCAAAGTTGTGGGCACTAGCAAAGCAAGTAAGTTTAAAAAGGTAAAGTGTAGAAACAGCTCTTAGTTGTGCAAGAGTACCTCGTGATGTAAAATAGACTTCCGCTGCCTACACAGTCTGTTTTTCTGGGGGGTGGCCCTTCTCTCATTCTCGCACCACTTGACCATTCCTGGAATCCTACCTTGTCTTTGTCGCACCCCCTAGGAGATTGATCTCTGCAGATCTCATAGAAGTATAAATTCTCGTAGGGTGGGGGGATGGGAGCAAATTCTACAAAGTCCCATGGACTAAAGGCTTATCTAAGTTTTCACATGACTTTCTTGTCTGAAACAGTCATCCAGTAGATGCAAAGTCGTCGTCACACTCGTTATAGTAACAACATATCAGTAAGAGTTCACCGAGTGCCTTGCTTATCACAACAAACTATCCTGTTACTCGCTGGTGGATGCCTGAGTCTTTTCTTGCTTGCCCAGCAAAAGTAGATATGAATCTTATCTAAGAATTATGGAGGAGAGAAAAAAACAAATAAAAAAAAATAACAATTATCAAAATTCACTCGGAAATTGAGGAGAAAACAGAAAGTGCTCCCGATTACCAATTCCCACGAGCTGTACACGTCGACTGTTTGGAACTTGACCAACACTAGTGTATTCGTCTTACTATCCTGTCTTGAACTGTCCCCTTATTCGAGATGAAGGTTTTGTTATCAATATTTCTTCTAATACAGACAATTTGGTCATTCCAATTACCATTCACCGTACCAGATGTGTTCAGTTCGCTGCTGCGGAAGCATACTCACTATTCAAAGTTAAACCCACAAGATCACCCAATTGATTTGCTGCAGTACAAGGAGGATGTGGTGATCAGAGTATCGTATGCGAATTCCCCATCTTTGAAGGAGTTCCTCACAAAATCGGAGGTCACGTTTAATAAATGGGGTAAAAACAACAATCAACAGACAGTTGATATCCAAATTAATGAGGAGGAGCTCGTCAAATTGATTGAAAAGTTTCCATCTTTGGAGTACCACACCATCATTGAAGATTTACCCCAGCGCATTTATGAAACTTTCCCATTACAAGAGCTGCAAGTATTTGCACAAGATGATGATTTCCATGTACAATCAGAGCTTTTTTTCAAAGAATACCGTGAGTTGGCTACAATTGAATCTTGGTTGAACTTGTTACAATCTACTTTTCCCGATGTTGTCAAGATTGAAGATATTGGAGAAACTTTTGAGCACAAGAAACTCAATGTAGTCCACTTTTCAGTTCCAAACGGTGACGTGGAGCACAAGGATAAGAAAACCATTGTCATCACCGGTGGTGTTCATGCTCGTGAATGGATTTCTGTGTCGAGTACCTTGTACTTGATTTACCAATTGATCAAACTTTACAGCGCCTGGCCCAACTCGAAAATATTGACTCAGTTAGACTTTTTGTTCATTCCAGTCATCAACCCTGATGGGTATGAGTATACTTGGACAAATGATAGGTTATGGCGTAAAAATCGGCAAGAAACCCCCATTCCAAAGTGTTTTGGAATTGATATTGACCATTCCTATGGGTACCACTGGACTAAATCATCTGATTGGGCTTGTGGCGAAGAATACAGTGGGGAAGTGCCCTTTGAGGCGTTTGAATCTCGCTTGTGGGATGAATATTTGAACAAAACTAACAAGGATCATAATATTTACGGTTACATCGATTTGCATTCGTATTCCCAGGAGATTTTGTATCCTTACGCGTACTCGTGCAATCAGCAACCAAGAGATGAAGAGAACTTGATTGAATTGGCTTGGGGTATAGCCAAATCAATAAGAATGAAACTGGGTACGAACTATAATGTTTTACCGGCATGTATTGACAAGGATTCAGATCTATTACCGGATTTGGGGTCAGGCTCAGGATTGGATTATATGTACCACAACCGAGCATATTGGGCTTATCAGTTTAAGTTGCGTGACACAGGTGGCCATGGATTCTTGTTGCCTGCTAAATATATCGAGCCAGTCGGCGATGAAATTGCTTCCGCCATTTTGTACTTTTGCAAGTTCATACTTAGTGATGAGAGATAAATGAACATTAAAAGACAGATTGAGTAATGTTTGTGGGGGGGGGTTTTGGAAAATTTTCTGTGTATTGCAATATAAAAGACTATACTAGTAAGCGACGATGTATTTCGAAATACCTGCAAAGATGCAGAAGTGTTAGTCGTGACAATTAGACGATGGTGCACATAGAACCGACGAATCCACCAGGGACTTTTCTGACCCAGTTGTCCTTTCCAGCATCTTTTTTGCCAGCGGTAGAAGCAGTGTTAGCGTTGTTGTTAGTTTGTTGAGCAGCCATTGTTAATCAGTTAGTTAGTCTGTTAGTCTGTTAGTCTGTTAGTTTGTTGATGATGGAAAGAATGGAATTGGGATTCGAAGCGAAAGTCGTTGGGTATTTATAGTAAACTTTCTACAACACTTTCTTGCAATGACTCTTTACTAAAAGTTTGAATTGAAATTTAACATGAAACATGCAGAAGCGGGGCCGCTGCTGAACCACTCTCTGTTACTCGAACCTAAATTCTACTTCGACGAGTGAATTACTCTCCGTTTCGAAAAGTTCCACAATGCTCACATTTTCCTATTGCCCACTTGTTTGATATCGGATCTCCGATGATTTATTTTCATTTAATTTCCACATTTGGATGTCACAGTGTAAAAGCAAACTGTAGGCGACACAACAAACCAGTTTCAAACCCCAAGCTACGGGGGAAGGACCTAAAAACGTGCAGGAAATCAATTATCACCGACTACTTGCTTTGAAACATCGAATCAAGCACAAAAAGGTCCCAAGAACTCTCCACCTGGCTGGTTGAAACTTAAATTCTTATTCAAAAATGCTATTGGTTGGGGATTTCTAGAAATTGTATTGATTGTTTTACTCTTCCGGCCATCCCCCATTGTCGTGGCTCAATCGAGTAATAAAACTGAGGCAAACAAAAAGAAAAAAAAAAAAAATAAAGTTGCAAAAGATTATGAGTTGCGAAAGGTCTTGAACAAAACGGTGACATATATTGTATTGAAAAACGAGTGATTCAGAAATCATAAACGTTGACATGAAACGCCATTATCAATTGAAATTAGCATTCCTGGGATTACCAAGCTTCCTTCACTCGAAACACTTGATCGTAATTTGTACAAATACGAGTAGAAACTTGAGTAAACGTGCTAGAAATCAACTCAAAGAAATTGCATGTGTGAGTAATCCAGATAATATAAAAGGACATCAAGCAGACCTTCTTGTAAAAAGTTTAATTATCTTCTATTATCAACAAACTAACAGACTAACTAACTGATTAACAATGGCTGCTCAACAAACTAGCAACAACGCTAACACTACTTCTACCGCTGGCAAAAAAGATGCTGGAAAGGACAACTGGGTCAGAAAAGTCCCTGGTGGATTCGTCGGTTCTATGTGCACCATCGTCTGAGTGCCGCTACAAGATGCTGACTAGTATAGCTGGTTACAAAAAGTGAACGCAATTCGCTCCCGTCTTTTCTTTCAAAATCGTTATACTTTGTTCCTGAGTGTGTGTGGACCTGTAGTGAAAGAACCCAAATTGATTTGCAAATGAATTATCTATAGGTTTCAATACATGTTTTTATATCATACAATTGCTGGCTTTGCTGTAGACTGGATCTTTATCCACTATGATTTCTCAGTTGGAATCACTGTCAATAGTGTTTTCTCCACTACTGCCAAAAGAAAAAAAAAAAATAAAAGAAAAAACTTTTGGCGACAAGATCTCGCTATGCAAAGCACACTTTAAACGGATGAGAGTAGTTGTACAGAAAGTCAAGAATGCCTCCGTCACAGTTGACGATAAAGTGATATCATCGTATGTTGTGAGAAATAATAATAAAACAAAAAAGAACACCCAACACAGGAATGGATGTATTAACTTAATTTAGAATTGGCAAAGGTCTAATGGTCTTGGTCGGAATCTCGACCTCAGATACCAAAGATGATATATTGAAACTAAGCAAGAAGTTACTTTCGTTGCGTATATTTGAGGACATGACACAACCAGCCGAGACGACTACAAAATGGTATGGAAAACCGTGGAGCAAGTCCGTCGTCGATGTTCAAGGGGAAATCCTATCGGTGTCGCAATTCACGCTATACGGAACAATCAAAAAGGGAACAAAGCCTGATTTTCACAAAGCTGCAAAGGGAGAGAGTGCCAAAGAGTTGTATGGGATGTTGTTGGATGAATTGAGGAGAGGCTTGGGTACAGATAAGGTAAAAGACGGAGAATTCGGGGCAATGATGGACGTGGCGTTGGTCAATGATGGGCCCGTCACGATAGTATGGGATACACAAGAGAACACATTATAGATGCCAGAATTATTTTATAAAGAAGTCCTGTCACCAGGGCTTGAGATCAAAGAGCTTTTATTTGATTCGTACTCCATCACTGGTAGGTCTTTATCGAGGTCATTAGCGACGTCTTATAGAGTAGAAGTTTTAAAAGTATAAAGTAGCAGCATATACTACCCTTGTGAAATTTGTTTATAGACTACAATTTGTTATTTTGAAAAGTCTTATGTGTTGGGGGATCCCTATGAAGAAAAAGTATAAAAAAAATTAACGAAGTAAGAAGCGGCGAGTAAAGTGTGTAACTCCTGGTCTGAGAAACTCGTGCTCAGACGATGGTGCACATAGAACCGACGAATCCACCAGGGACTTTTCTGACCCAGTTGTCCTTTCCAGCATCTTTTTTGCCAGCGGTAGAAGTAGTGTTAGCGTTGTTGCTAGTTTGTTGAGCAGCCATTGTTAGTTTATTGTTTTTGTTTGGTGATGATATAAATGGAGAGAAGTGGTCAAAAGATGGTCCGTTTTCGTCTCTTTTTATATTCTAGAGGTGCTGTAAAACGTCAAGCCTCAAGAGCAGCTGAACGTTGGATGCCGATTGTGGTGTGTAGTACTCAAAATCAACATAGGAGAACACATGCAAACATCGTGTTACAAATTGTGAACAATTGCTGCCCTTTTGGGCCCCTACAATATACTCAGCTCCGCAACACCATATCTCAATCTAAAACTAAATCGTTTAATTTTATAGAATACAGCTCAAATAGGGTATTTGAAACATAGTTTGTGGTATAGTTCATCACCTCTTATGCGACTTAATTTAATACAAAATATAACACGTGGCGGTGTTTCGGAAAATAGACTTTATTTCGAGAACACTATACCTAGCTTTCAAGAATAAAAAGTTTCACATTTTGGTTTGCTTGTTTCAAATGTATCATGCTGGTAATTGTTGAAGTCGATTCTGGCTTTGGTTTCTCCATTTGCAGCAATTGTGATGTCCCAATTGAGTAAAAAAAAAAATAAATAAATAAACAGATTCAATTTGTTGTCAAATTAAGAAAACTTAAACAAGAAATCCCAAAAATTTGGATTCTTTCTCGAAATCATCGTTTCCAAATGCCTGATCTCGTTTCAAAACTTTAGATTGCACCTCAAGTTGTAAAGATGGTGTTAACTCTCCGGTTATTCTTTCAAAACCCTTGTGTTTTAAACGCCAATGCATGTGAAGTGACTAGGTATGGTTTGAGTTGGTTGCGTCTTCTTCTAGTGCCCGTTACCGGACAACCGTCTACACATCAAATACCCAGTTTACTATTACAATATCTAATTCTAAATATTCTAAACATCACAACCCATTACTTACACACGAGAATGGCTTACCATATAGACTTGCCTCGTAGGACCATATTATACTTTGTATGGTGGAATACAAACCTGGACCCAAAATGTAAACTCCCAAGGCAAATATAATCAAATTCAACACAAATTCCCCCTTTTGTAACAAACTGGATCTTTTAAACACTTCTAGTAAGTTGGGGCGTACGCCTTCTTGCTTGTAATAATACAATTTTCTCAATTTAAAATATGCCAATGCCCAAAAGATGAATCCAAAAAAGCAATCAAACAATGATGACATCAAGCTCAACAAATCACTGAAAAATGGAATCACTTCAGCAATTACAAATGCTATAGCCCATAAAGCACCGTTGAGTCCTGCCCATACACCCCACCCCAACAAAGTGTTTTCGTTCCTATGTACACTTCCCTTGTTGAAGATTTGATGGAACAAAAATTGAGAAGAAACATTACTGTACAATGATCCAAGAAACAATATTGTTGGCAATGCAAAACTGAAGGAAATCTTTTTGAAGTTTCCAACCAAGGAACCAAATGCTGGAGCAACCATGTAAGCATTTCCAACGTAAACGTAAATAATGGATCCAGCCAATGCGAAAGTGATCAACTCGCAAATTGTGACCACCACCAAAGCTTTACGGAAATCTCTAGGTTGCTTCATTTGCGAGATGAATGATGGGTAGGTGATTTGGCCCACGAATGTGTAAACAATATTCAAGACTGCCGACATGATGTTGACGTATTTTTCACCCTTTTGCGGCCATGCATGCCAAACCACTGGAGTAGCAGGATCGAATTTATTTGGGTGACTTTGTACACCAGCAAAGATCATGGCCAAGAGAACTGCAATGAACATGGTAACAGCTGAAAAATAGCCAACCCCCGATAAATGACTGAATGTTCTAGGTAACGAAAGTAAGAAACAAATAATTGCGGTGATGACTCCAAAAACAATAGAACAAATGGTGGTGTTGTCACTAATCGTGTTCCAGTACTTAGCGCCCACCAACACATGCAAAGCTTGAATCAAAGTATTGTTGAGCAAAAATGCAACTGCGGTGGCATACCAAACCCATTTTTTTCCAAAAATCAAATGTTGTCCAATATCGCAAACGTTGAGCAAGTGCGGATACGCGGCACAGTAATCGCTAATGATCAATCCAGTGTACAAGCACAATAACGAGACAATAACGGTGACAATCAATCCTAATCCCAATCCCAAGACGGAGTACGACCAAGGGAATGACATAATTGCCAAACAAATATATTCACTGAACAAAAGCCCAGCAGTCTTCTGCCACGAGCAATTACGATAATTAATGGAATGTTCGCTTTCCTCCTCGATCTGCTTCTTCAAATAGGCATCTGGATCAAATGAAGAAATATCGGAACTCTCTTCCACCTCTGCCCCGGTGTGGGGTGACTCTTTGGGATCTAAGGACATTCTGGGCGGTGCAATGGATGAGTTTTCTCAGTGTAAAACGCCAGATTTTGTGGAGAATGGAGATCATCCGTAATTTATATACACCACATGATGAAAAAAAAAAAAACAGGATTCTAGGCTGCAGGGTTATTATCTCTCTCATCGCAGTTGATTTATCACTGAGACCAGTTTTACATTGCTAACCTCTGTTTATAGACATAGTTTTAAGGGACCGTGCATAACAATAAAAAGCAGGCGTAATTCCACCCGCATTTGGCAAGTGAAACTGCATATAAAGACGACGGGAAAATATAATTTACTTTTGTGTCATTATTAGATAAAATTTCTCTTTTCCTTGCTTCTGGGGCGTTTTACCTTTGTTTTTTTTTGAAAAATAGCAAGATACGGTAGATGTCAGTCAAGACCCTGGACCAGTTTTCTTTTCGATTGAACTAAGTGTCCCTGTGCAACATAAAGACTAAGAACTCGTAGACCTTGCAACACAAAGAGTGCAAGATCTATGCATATATAGAAGGTCCTCCCTTTCCCCTCTACCTTGTGGCGTTTCAACTGTGTCTCTTTTTTTTTCTAACCAAAATGTATCAAGTATGACGTGATCGAATCTCGTCAATGCCACACTTTTTTTTTTTATGCCAACCGTAGTCTGCTGGAATTAATTTCTTTTTCGAAAAAAAGTAAGTCAATTTACCCGCCCTCACCTAATTCATAACCATCATCTATATTGTTTTACGGATATACTCCATAATAACAAAATGATATTTGCTGGTACTTTACATGAAGACTAAATAGTATAGAAGTACGATTGAAGCTGCATAAAAATAAGCATCAAGCGCCATCTTTCCTTATTCTTTTTGAATCCCGCCACGAGGATCTTGCATTCGGCTAATAGAGTTTTCAATGGATGGATCCATTTTTGTTTACCAGAGGTCGACCTGTTCCAAAATGGTCAACTCTGTGCTCACTGTCTGCCCTCAAAACGGAGTGGTGAGGTATACAGGATAACTCAACGCATACCGCAGTTACCTTACGATATTCCGGGGCACTTGCAAATTCGCCTATCCATTACCCTCTCATTATCGTAAATCTCTAATCNCCTCCTCTGAACTTGTGTATTATCGAGTGTAATTAATTTTGCAGGTTTGTCAAACTGTGGCTCTGAAATGAAATTTCGTTAGTGAATACTAACCCAGATGCCCCCTTTTTTTCTTTTTTTTTTTGTATTTTTTTGCAAAACCTAGTCAATCAAACTCTGATTATATAGCTACTAAAATTATGTTACGAGATTTTGAGTGAGATTTCGGCGAAATTGGACATAGTCTAATCGGATTTAAGATGGCATTTCATGCATAGATTCTGGAAACTGAGTTTAGAAGATAGTTGATAATTCTTTAAATCAAAACTCTATTATAGTTCTCAAAGCTGTGACGTACCCTTCATCTCCTCAAATGGTGTTCCAGCTCTTCTCCTCTATCCTCGAAACCAGTTGGTAGCTCTTCGTATTACTACTTGCAAAAACTTCATTGGTTGGAAAGGAAAAGTCAACCGAAAGCAGCGTCGTGCACTACCAATTTTTTGGAAGGAAGAAAAAAAAAAAAAACAAAAAAAAGAGCATGTTTCCTCAATACCAAAAGGTTACTGGCTAAGTATCCAGAACACCGTCACTTATTCAAACACATACCATACTGCAAGTCATCATGTCAGGAGGCCCAGTACCAGTGTGGAAGAAATACACCAGCAGACCTAGAGGAATATGGGAGAAATTGAGGGAACTTTTGGTCTTGGCTCCCAATAGATCGTCAGGAAACATGTATGTTCCGTTGTACAGAAATCCTCCACCAGGATCAAGAATAGCTGAAGCCAAAGCATATAAAGACCCAGTAACAATTCCGGCTGGTGACATAAAGGGAAACCCATATTTCAAGCGAGATTTTAGAAGAAATTACCCTCAAGTGCATGGTTTTAACCAAACCAAGTTATCAGGATTGTTGCAATTGGGTAATAGCGAGCATCCAAGAATATCGGTGGGAGAGAAGGGCACTAAAGAATTGAGTACGTTTGAAGGAGGAAGTGTGGTTAGTTTGACTTCGACTTTGAGCAAATTACCAGAAAATGTCATCAAAGGAGAAATCTTGGGTAAACAAGGAGAGCCAATCGTGGCTCCAAGTTTGAACAAATTCAAGTGGGAAATATTGCCAGAAAGTGTTCATGGAATGTATACAGAGGAGTATCCATGTCGTATATTCACTGATACAAAGGTTAAAACAGTTTCATCATCAGCCTAAGACATCTTATATAGAACTTTTGAAATTATCAAGAATATACAATTGGTCTTATTGAAAATTGAGGAAAAATTGCTGGCAAGGCGTAGAGTCCAAACCAACAAGACAAATAGGTGATTGAAGAATCGTAGTTGTGATCTGGCTCTAGTGAATGTTGACTTGAGATATGTGTATGTAGCGTGTCCATGGTCTCGCAAGGGTGTATTTGAAACCAAGGTTGATGGAGTAGGTGATGATCAGTTATCGATATATCAACTACTTTATTCATTACCAAGTTTGCCGATTCCTTTAACGACACATCGAGCTCAACAATGTCAAAATCAAGTTTCTCGTTGACAAAGACCCGGAAACTAAAGATGGGCACTTGATAGAACTTGTCATACGATATTGTAAATTCCAATCTCATATCGTCGCCAATAGTGATGGATGCAAACATGTATTTGTCGTCATTCACTTGCTTCACATTTGCTGTGGCCACTCTGAACCTAATCGTTGACTGTAAGTTATCAAAAAGAACACTTTTGAAAAGGCCTATAGAGGCATTGAAGTCTTGACTCGTCAATATCTTCGTTTCCTGCATGGCATTGTTGACAATTGAATCGTGTGTCGTGCTTAGCCAGTGTTCTTGTGCATCCAATTTACCACTTGCCTTCGCTAACACAAACAAAAATATAACTACGCCTCTATCAATCAACCAAAAATAAAATCTTTATCAAAAACGCCTATACACTTACTGCACACAATAAAGCAAGTCACCGAATGAAAACGGTTGTTCTTCTCTTACAACGCCTCTCTTTCGTCTCTTGCCAGCTTCAACGGCCCTCTCCTCTTCGCAAACCTTACTTGTTGCTCTCCTCTCTTGCTTTCTTCAATCCCTCACTAGGCTTCGGAGTACTCTCATTCAAAAGCCCGCTTTTCCCATTGGCAAATATTTGGGCATTACTAGCACTTATACTATTCCTTACCGACATCTCCTTCATTCGCTCAGCACTGGGATGTCTTGACGGAATGCCTTCACCGATTCCACCACCCAAGCCCGATAAGTTCTTCACCGCGCCGCCTTTCTGCTTTTGCATGGCATAATCTCCACTATCGAAATATTTCTTATCATGAAACTTAGAACTCAATATCTGTTGTGTGGATGGAAGTTTACCGTACATTTTGTAAATCTTCAATTCCTGTGGCGATAATTTGGACAAGTCAAGATGCTGTGTGTTTTCCGGCTCTGCTAAAGGATCGCCTTCTGCGTATTTCTCAGTCATCTCCGATAACGCTGATTGTTTTAGATGGTAGTGGGGAAGGGCGATTCGTTGTGGTTTGTTTGATAACGAAATGAAAGTTTAATCAGGGGAAAAAGACTCACAGAACGTCGTATTTTTATTTCTCGCAATAGTCACTTTTACAGCAAAGGACATCCAAAGTATTGATGTATGGATGTGTGGGGAAAAACAACTGAAAACTTGGTAGCGTATTGGCCGCACAATCGAAGTGTCTCAGTTTTATAACCCAGTGACGTCAAAATTCCTACTTACCACCTCTTGTTTGTTGTATTTGCAGTGTTAGATGAGGCACAGCACACTACTGCCAACATGACCTTTCCAAATCTCACTGATTTCTTCAGGAAGCTGCTGAGTTGTCATCCGCATCCAAAATTAGTGTACAGTTTGAGAGAGGGCCAACTGGTACGGTGGACGCTTGACACAAGTATCGTATACTCATGGCAGTATTCCGTATAGTGAATACCACCGTTGTTTACTCATTATCACACCAGTTTTTGCACTTGCACCAGAAACTCGTTATCTGGACAGGTTCGAAAAAAAAAAAAAAAACCGACAGAGCGGGCCTTCCAAGCAAATTCACAGTAATTAATCATAATAAGGAAATCAGCCTTGATTCGAGGGCGGGGCTCCTCCTCTTATAGTTTTCTTGCGATTTGAAGCAGGGTTCTCAAATAGAAGTCCATCACTCAAACATACAGTTTTGAGCACGGTACACGACAGCGTTGTGACGCAGTGGAAGCGTGCAGGGCTCATAACCCTGAAGTCCCCGGATCGAAACC